CCGCTAGCTCTCACCCGGCGCAATTATTTAGTATAATCAGGTCTTTAACGTCCCTTGAGGGACAGCCAAATTTAAATAACAATTTGACACACAGCTGTGAGGCATTTGCGAGCTTTTTTGCGGAGAAGGTCTTGTTGCTCCGCCATGACCTCCCTGCCAATTTGGATACAATAAAGGAACTGGAGGCCCCTCGAGTCCAGTATTGGACCACTTCAACCGGATATCCCCAGCCGATGTGGACAGACTCCTCCGAGCTGGAAAGCCCACCACCTGTCCTCTCGACCCGTGCCCATCTTGGCTGATTAAAGCGTGTCCAGACGAGGTGCGGGCCCTCCTGGGGGATATCATCAATTTGTCCCTTGGCATGGGGATATTCCCAGGGGAATTGAAGGAGGCAGTGGTGCGCCCGCTCTTAAAGAAAACATCATTAGATCCTTTAGATCTATCCAATTACCGCCCGGTTTCAAATCTTCCGTTCCTGGGTAAGGTGATTGAGAGAGCGGTTGCTGAACAGCTTGGTGGGTTTCTGGATGAAACATTGGCTCTGGATCCATTCCAGTCCGGCTTCCGCGCTGGTCATGGGACCGAGACGGCTCTGGTTGCCCTAACAGATGGTCTTCGTAGACAGCTGGATCGAGGTGGGTCGGGGCTGCTGATTCTTCTAGATCTGTCAGCAGCTTTCAACATGGTCGATCATGAACTTCTGGACCACCGCCTTGCCGACGTGGGGATCCAGGGCACAGTCCTTCAATGGCTGCGCTCGTTTCTTTCTGGTCGGGGACAGAGGGTGGTGCTTGGGGGGGAATTGTCATCACCCCACTCCTTGGTGTGTGGAGTACCTCAGGGTGAGATACTCTCCCCGATGCTTTTCAACATCTTTATGCGCCCCCTCGCCCAGCTTGTCCGGAGTTTTGGGCTGGGTTGCCATCTGTATGCCGATGACACCCAACTCTATCTGTTGATGGATGGCCATCCTGACTCGGCCCCAGACACACTGACCAGATGTTTGGAAGCTGTGGCTGGATGGTTACATGGGAGCCGGTTGAAGTTAAATGCTTCGAAGACAGAGGTCCTCTGGCTGGGATGGGACGATATGGGATTGAGGGGGCAACTCCCATCTCTTGCGGGGGTGTAATTAGTGCCAGCACTGTCCGTAAAGAGTTTGGGTGTAATTTTCAATACCTCCCTCTCTATGGAGGCGCAGATTACAGCTATAACAAAGGCGGCATTTTTTCATCTCCACCAAGCTAAGCAGTGGGCTCCTTATCTCTCTTGCCCTGACCTAGCCACTGTGATCCACGCGACGGTCACCTCCAGACTGGATTATTGTAACTCACTCTACGTGGGGCTGCCCTTGAGACTGACCCAGAAACTCCAGCGGGTGCAGAATGATGCAGCGAGACTCCTTACGGGGTCTTCGCTGCGAGATCACATTCACCCGATGCTATACCAGCTGCACTGGTAGAGTACAGGATCAGGTTTAAGGTGCTGGTTTTAACCTTTAAAGCCCTATACGGCCTAGGACCCTCGTACCTATGGGACCACCTCTCCTGGTATGCCCCACAGAGAAACTTACGGTCTTCAAATAAAAACATCTTGAAGGTCCCAGGCCACAGAGAATTTAGGCTGGCCTCAACTAGAGCCAGGGCTTTTTTGGCCGTGGCTCCGATCTGGTGGAACACTCTGTCACAAGAGACCAGGGCCCTGCGGGACTTGACATCTTTCCGCAGGGCCTGCAAGACAGAGCTGTTCCACCAGGCCGTTGGCCAGGGCACAGCCTGACTCCCTCCCTCAGCAATCTTCGCGGAGCTCTGGCCCAATGGTTGCCAGTGGCTTGAATTAATTAATTTTATAATGAATGATTTTAGAGTGTTGTTTGTGCTGTACTTTTGTACTGTTTTATTGTTGTTAGCCGCCCTGAGCCCAGCTTCGGCTGGGGAGGGTGGGATATAAATAAATTTTATTATGATTATGATTATGATTATGATTATGATTATTATGATTATTATGATGATTATTATTATTATTATTTTCTGAATCCACTGAGAGTCTCTTGTGTGGTATCACCACTGTCTCCTTCAAGCAGGCAGGGACACACACACCCCTCTTGCAATGAGGCATTAATTGTCTCCCTGGCCCAGCAGCTGTCCCCTCCCTGCTAATTTTTATCAGCCAAGAGGGACAAGGGTCCAGAGTACAAGTGGTTTTGCCCTGAGTGATCAAAGCACCTTGTCCACATCCTCAAGCCTTACTAACTGAAACTCGCTTAGTGTTACAAAACTAGACAGAGCACTGGACACCTCTTGAGGTTCATCTGATGTAAACAGTGGAGTCAAGGTATGGAAGCAATTCTATCCTCGAAATGCTTTGCAAACAAGCTGCCATTTCCCCCCCTTCTCCTCCTTCAGGCCAGATTGTAAAAGGCTCAACACTGCCTGGAAAAGCTCTGTTGGATAACACAAGGAGGATGAGATGGAGGCAGCAAAGTATACCGTTTTCACCAGGTAGGCTTGATGATGAGCTCTCACCAATGTTCAACTGCATTCCACTGGTGTTTTCCTCCACTCATGCTCACATGGACATAATCTAAGCATTACTTAGTTCAGAGATGGTGAAATTTTGATCATCCTAGTGTTACTGAGCTCCACTCTCCTCACCCTCAAAAAGCTCCAGTGCAACAAACTGGCTGGGGAATATCCCCCATGATTTAGTTGGTTTGGAAATAGGTTGGAGATGGGATGGGTCTCTGTCAACTCTTACAACTTACTCCTACTGGAGCTCCACCAACTCACATCAGCACCAGCAAACATGGCCAAGGAACATGGATGGTGGGAGTTGTAAAAGGTAAAGGTAAAGGGACCCCTGACAGTTAAGTCCAGTTGTGAACGACTCTCGGGTTGTGGCACTCATCTCGCCTTACAGGCCAAGGGAGCATGCGTTTGTCCGCTCCGCAGACAGTTTTTCTGGGTCATGTGGCCAGCATGACTAAACCGCTTCTGGTGCAATGGAACACCGACACAAGAGCAGTGCACGGAAACATCGTTTACCTTCCCGCCGGAGCGGTACCTATTAATCTACTTGCACTTTTTGGGTTTTTTTTTAACTGCTAGGTTGGCAGGAGCTGGGACCGAGCAACAGGAGCTCATCCCATCACGGGGATTCGAACCACCGACCTTTTGCTCGGCAAGCCCAAGGTTCAGTGGTTTAGAGCACAGCACCGCCCAAGTCCCTGATAGGAGTTGTAATTCAGTAATATTTGGAGGGTCACAGGTCCCCCACCTGATTTAGTTTCAAACAAGGTGGAGTGGAAGAAACTGTTCAGTTTTGGTTCTCATATCTCTCTCTCTCTTAAATTCAAATCTTCACATTTAAACAGAAATTCACCAACATTTTAGTGCAACTTTTGCCTACATTTTGTATGCTAATTTCACTATCAATTTTATGCACATTTCCCTCTAATATACACCTTTTTGTACAGATTGGTTGGAGGAATACATATTCAAATATGAAGAAGTGAACGTTTTGAAGTTTGGGTGTGTTTCAGATCACCTTTTTTGAGACATGCTAAATGATTTCTCATTAAAATGCAGACATAAGCAAATTTACCTCCAACCCATAGATGTAACCTTCCGTACATGCATGCACATTTCTTTACAAAGCAATTTAAAACATAATGGTGCAGTTATTTGAGTTGGCTTCATCATTTTTTAATGAGGACTATTAAGCTACTGCTACCTGCACGTAGCATATGTTGCAAATAAATTACGATCATTACAAGCATTAAATGATGGAAAGATTATAATGAATGCTTTTTGAAGTGCTTTGATGATCTGGGTGTAAATTGAAGAACACCATGCTGAGGTCAATGATAGAGGGAAGATTAAAAATGTTAAGAGTCTTCATACTGCGTTGTGACAAAAGCAGGTTAATCCTTAAGTTCCTTCTGCTTAGTCAGGCAAATTTCTGCACATGAAAATAAATTTGTCTCCAGCAAAGGAGAAATTTAACGAGAAAAGGGTTGTGTCCTAGCCAGTAGGGAGGCTGGAAGAAGAGTATAAAAGCTTAGACTTCTCTCCAAAATTCCATCAGCTTCATTTGACTCTCCCGTCTTCACAACAGCATCTTCCCAAAGAAGCAGGTGAGTATGTTTTCTTGAAGGTGTTTTCATTCTTATAGAAAGTTTAGGTTTTCTTGGAAGTATTTTCATTCTTATAGAAAGTTTAGGTAAATCTAGGCTTAGTTGGAACTTCCACTAGACTCTACAATTCTTCAGTACTGGGATAGCTAACCTTTGACCATCCAAATGATTCTGGATCACCACTTCCATCACCTTGGACCATGCTGATCTGGTCTGGTGGAAGTTCTAGTCCCGCAACATCTGGAGGGCCACAGATTCTAAATGGGGTCATGTAGAATGGCTCCCCTCACCTGTAACCCACCAGATGATGCTAGACTACAGCTCCCATCATTATTGATCATTGTTGGTCATGCTGGCTACTTCCAGTGGGAGTTGGAGTCCGGCAACATCTAGAGTCCCACAAGTTAGCTTTGAAACACTGCTTTGAAACACTAGCTTCTTAGCTAGATGGTTCAGATTCTCCCTGAATGCTGGTTGTTGTAGACATCCCAGAAATTCTGGGCTGACCAGTGTTGAAAATGAAATGCTGGACAAATTGAGATGTGGGGTCTGATCTGGCATGCCATTTAGATTCTTTGTTCCACCCTCTTTTCCTACTCCCAACCCCAAGTGGCCTCCAAAAAGTTGCCTGAAAAGGGATGCAGCCCTCCGGTGGAAGAGGGTATCCCACCTCAGAAATAAACTCTAAAGAAGTAGGGGAGCTATTATGATACATTGAAAACACAGGCTCTTTCATTTGTAGAATAAGGCTACAGAGATTGTGCAGTGAGTGGGAGAAGATGCAAATTGCATATACCCTTTGTGATTCTGAGTCATATCTGTTTCTCAAAATTTGTTCTAGATTCATCCCATCTCTGAAACCATGGTTTCCTGTGGCCCATCCTGTGCTGTCCCATCCATTGCTTCCTGCCCCACTGTTGGGTTTGGGTCAGCAGGAAGTCTTGGCTCCGGAGGTCTTGGCTATGGTGGTTTTGGCTATGGAGGCCTTGGCTCTGCCGGTTTTGGCTATGGCGGTCTTGGCTATGGTGGCTTCGGCTATGGCAGTGGTTATGGCATTGGTTCAGGAGCAAGCACCAACTCAGCACAGCTTGGCACCTTGGATGGGATTATCCCACAACCAATCAACCAGATCCCACCAGCAGAGGTCATGATCCAGCCACCTGCCTCCATTGTGACCATCCCAGGGCCCATCCTCTCTGCCAGCTGTGAGCCTGTGGCAGTCGGAGGCAACACTCCATGTGCTGTTAGTGGGCTGGCAGGAGGCTTTGGTGGCTATGGGGGTGGCCTTCTTGGAAGCTATGGGGGTTATGGCTTGGGCTCTGGCAGCTTCAGAAGGGGTGGAATCATTGGAAGGAAGTCTCTTGTGGGACGTTGTGGGAGCGTTTGCTTGTAGACTGATCCAACCTGAGAAGAATATCCTTATGAAACAACCATTGACCAGAGAACTCGATACAGATCCATAGGCCTTGGTTCGGAAGAGCTGATTCCAAAGAACCACTGCTGAAGCTGGGCACTTCATTATCTCCCCACCTTTGCTTTGAAGTCCGTGGGGCCAAGATGCTTCTGTGTTCTTTTCATGGACTCTTCTGCAACTATTAATGCCATTTCTGTGACCTTTTAATAAAGCTTTTGCAGCCTTCGGATAACACGTGTGTTTTCGTTTTTCACCATTGGCATCCATTCCACACTGCACAGTTTCTTGAAGCTCACAATGCTGAAGCACCTTTCTTGTCCAAACTTAAATGTGGGTGGGCCAGGCAGGAGTACACCTCTTTATCACTGACATTTAGCCTTGCTGGCTGGAGCAGGTGGGAAATGACTTCCAACCACTTCTGGAGGGCAATAGGTTCTCCACTCCTAGTTTTCATTCAGGGGTATTCCCCTTGATCTACAAGGCTGAAGAAAGTGGGGTTGAGGTGCAATTTGGGTTATTTGTTTTCCTTTCATCTAACCACTCATGGTTAGGAGCACTCCATATTGCAACATTTCTATTGTAGGTTCCACTTTTGTGGCTATTAAGGACCTCGGTACATGTTGTGGCTACCAGCCAACCCACAGCTGGAGGTGGTACTGCTTCTGAATACTAGTTGGTGGAAACTGCAGGAGAGTAGAATGCTCTGAATATTCCTCAAAGGTTTCCCATGGGAACATCTGGTTGGCTGGTGCGAACAGAACGCTGGACTAGATGGGCCATTTCTCTTATCCATCATGGCTCTTATGTTCTTAAGAAGATATGAGGCATTCTATCACTGGGCTAAAATGAGCTCTTGCATTCAGGTGTGTCACAGAGATGGCACAAAAGTTTTTCTGTATAGGCATGAACTTGGTTCTTCAGACGTTGTTGGATTCCTGAGGGGAGCCTCAGGCCCACCAAGGGTGACCAGTGGTCAGGGATTATGGGAGTTGGGTTCTAGCAACATATGAACCCCAGTTAGTCATGCCCATTAATTTCAATGGGTCTGCTCTGTGTAGGACTAAAATGTAAATGGGATAACCCAGAAAGATCAAGAAGGCAAGGAGGTTTTTTTAAATGATGCAGCAAGACCTTTATTAAGATAGAGCAAAGTAAAGACAGAGTAGTCTCAAGAGCTTATTAACCCCCTGCCCATCCCCAAACATGTCATAGTCATACAGCAAAGCATAAAGATTAACAACGGATATGGCGTTTTTCAATTGAGTGGAACACGGCTTAGGATGCAATTAAAATTGACACTTGCTCCTGACTCAGATATCATGTTGTCTCTGCCCATGACCATTTCATGCTCTGACCATTGTCATTCTATAACATGTGTACTCAGAAGTAAGCCCCACTGAGCTCAAGGAGACTTACTCCCAAGGTCAGTGTGTAGAGGATTACAGTCTAAATAACAAGGGAACCAAAGCAGTATGCATGTAGGAAGACCTAGTTCCATTCCTTTCTTTTCTTTTTAACCCACAAATTAAATTACTTTTCAACAAAAATCACCTTTACAAATCAGCAAGGCAGTTGGATTTGCTTGCCTTCATAATACTTATGGGTTATATCCAGCATTAGTCCTACTCAGAGTTGACCCACTTAATTTAATGGACGTCATTAAGTTAGGGCTATTATTTTCAATAGGTCTACTCTGAGCAGAATTTAGTTGGATACCACTCTATGACTCCAATTATCTACTTTTGGATATGCCTAAGTCTTCCTGGTTCTTTATTGAGGTGGTAAATACTATTCCAGACTATACCAATGGATTAAATCATGATAGAAGTTACCTCCATTTTTTGAATGTAATGCATCAAAGAGAAAGCTAACATTTCAGGAAAGAGGATTTTAGCACCTAGCTTTCTCTCTGACATGCTTGCTTTAGATATGTAAGAATGATGTTTCATGAGTTTTAGGAGGTTGCCTGATGCTGTACCAGACAAATGGTCCATCTAACTCAGGACGGCTAACACTGACTGCCTACGGCTCCTTCCCAGGCCTTCTAAGAGATGCTGGAGATTGAATCTGGAACTGACTGCATGCAAAACATGTGCTTTACAACTGAGCCATAGATTTCCATCACATCAGTGCCACCTACAGTCTGAATTAGCACAGTTCAGGCATATATTTGCCACCTCTGACACAAGTAATGCTAACTTATCCAGTAGATTTCAGAAATTGCATGCAATACTCCGTTGTTAATTGAATCAATGTTAATATTAGATAATTGCCTTTGGAAGAAAGTCGCTTTCATTTGCAAGACATTGGAAATAAAAAATGTGTTGGATCCAACTTAGATTCAAAAGAGATCCACTGAAATAAAAAAGGCCCAAGTTAGTCATGTCCATTAAGTTCAATGGATCTACTCTAAGTAAGACTAATGTCGGATGCAACTCATTGCAATCTTCTCCCTGGAGATGTTCCCTCTGTTTTCAGATCTATACCAATACTTGTGATCTGCACTGTTCTGTTTGATGTTTAAGTATTCTGATATTCTGATCTCCCATGTAGAGGAGACCCTATGGAGCCTTGTTGTTCCAACAAAGCATGTCCCTTTGTGTTCCATAAACAACCTTACAATGTCAAATCTAAGGGGGGGATGCATAGCATAAGATGAAGTGGATTGGGAGGTGGGTGAGCTAAACACGCATACAGTGAGATATACTTTAAAAAAAGTTTGAAGACCCGCGTTTCCAGCTGACTTTGGTTGCAAACTTGGGATGCAAAGCATTTCTATATCGTTCCTGAATCAGTTCCGGTTTTTTCCCTTCCATTCCTGGTTGGCTTCCTGGGTTGTCTCTTTAGCATGGTCCACAGGGGTTGCAAGGGTTGTAGGACAACCTACGTGGACGTCGGGAAAATAGACCGGAACCAGCACAGGGTGTGTTTCCACCCACGGAGACAGGATCACAGCTGGCTGAGAGAATCGGCCCTGGAAGCGTCACGACCACGGGGGGTGGCTGGATCACCACTTCCGCTGGAGGGATCTGGTTGATGCAGGAGGGATTAAGGCCACCAACGACACCATAAGGGGTCAGCGACCCACCACCGCATGATGGGACAATGCCGCATGACGGGACACATCCGTAGGAGCACATGACCGGTTGATGGACTTGACACTAAGAAAAGAAGAAGTTGTGAGTAAAATGTTGTCTGTGTCAACTGTCTTGGGCATATAAAGGTAAAGGGACCCCTGACCATTAGGTCCAGTCATGGCCGACTCTGGGGTTGCGGCACTCATCTCGCTTTATTGGCCGAGGGAGACAGCTTACAGCTTCCGGGTCATGTGGCCAGCATGACTAAGCCGCTTCTGGCGAACCAGAGCAGTGCACAGAAATGCCATTTACCTTCCCGCCGGAGCGGTACCTATTTATCTATTTGCACTTCATGCTTTTGAACTGCTAGGTTGGCAGGAGCAGGGACCGAGCAACGGGAGCTCACCCCTTCACAGGGATTCGAACCGCCGACCTTCTGATCACCAAGTTCTAGGCTCTGTGGTTTAACCCACAGCACCACCCGCGTCCCTCTCTTGCATATAGGATGCTCCTATAGACTGAGTCAGCCTAATAGTCCATCGAGCTCAGTAATGTCTACACTGACTAGCAGCAGCTCACCAGGTTCCAGAAAGGATTCTTTCCTGACTATACCTGGAGATGCCCAGGACTGAACCTGGGTCTTTGTCCGCTGAAGGCTACTAGTCCATGGGGACCACATAATTTTTGCTAAGACAATATTGAAGATGTCACCTTTTTAATTTTCTGGCTGGCCCTTACAATGCATTCTGTGCATTCTGTATGTTCAAGGAAGTTTTTAATGTGTGACATTTTAGTGTATTTTTAATCTTTGTTGGAAGCTGCCTAGAGTGGCTGGGGAGGCCCAGTCAGATGGGCAGGGTACAAATAATAAATTATTATTATAAATTATTATTATTAGATGTCTGAATGGTGAATTTGTCTATTTGTCTATCCAGGGGCAAATCTACTATGAAACTAATGAAGCTTAATCTTCAGGGCTTCTAATCTCAGATGGGCCCCAGAATAGTCCACATTGCTTAACATTTTGGGGTCTGCTAGACCCAATTTGAGTTGAATATATTTCAACAATCCCATCGTTTGAGAGTCAGTAGCACAGAAGTTCATAGAATCATAGAAATATAGAGTTGAGACCACAAGGATCATCTAGTTCAGGCATCCCCAAACTCGGCCCTCCAGATGTTTTGGGACTACAACTCCCATCATCCCTAGCTAACAGGACCAGTGGTCAGGGATGATGGAAATTGTAGTCCCAAAACATCTGGAGGGCTGGGTGTGGGGATGTCTGATGTAGTTCAACCCCCTGCAGTCCAAGAATATGTAGCTGATCCATACAGGGATCAAACCTGCAACCTTGACATTATCAGCACCCAATATATTGTAAATGTTTGGTGGGCTGTTGTGGAACAACCCCATTGAAGAAGATAACAGTGGCTGCCTAGATCATCTTGCTGGTTGCAAAGGGGGCCCCATTACAGTTCAAGCTTCAGGACCCCCAAAATGTAGGCCCACCACTATGTCTATCTATTTAAAATACTTTTCACCCCCTCTTCACCGTATCAACAATTCTAGAAATGGGTACATGGGCAATTTTAAAATGCAATGCACAGGAATAGCTTCACAATGGCTACAGGTGAGCAGTGGGTGATGTTTGCATCACTTTCTCCTTTCTCTCCCTCTTTCTGGTACCTAATTTTTGTTTCTCCATCTCTCCCTCTGTCTAGTTACATTCTTCTGGGCACTTCTTGTATTCTTAAAACTCCCTATAGCTGAAGAGAAGCCAGCAAGTCTCTGACAGACAACAATCCAATCCGAAACGCCTGGAACTTATTCCGGATCTTATGTTTTTCTTCCTTCCATCTGGCAGAATAAGGTTGCAAGGAGCAAAGGCAGTGGAATAAACTG